GTCTTTGCCAAATTAAGTTGACATAGAATTATAATCAGGATAAAGGGCTTAATTAATTCCCAGCATTTGATTTTTATTACTATTATACATCGCTGATCAACGAACACAGTTGAATGAAAAATATTTTACTCTAACAATTTATAGTGTAAGAAGAATTCAAAACCATCTTTAATTTGCACAAGAATATATCGCCAAGAATGTTAAATTTCATAAATTATGAGACAGTCGAAGACTTATATATAATATTATGAGATAGTCAATTTTTGAAGGTCAAAGTATAATATTATATTGTAGTCATTCTCAAATGTCAACAACCTAAATCTATAGTGCAACTTGATCAACTATGAATTAATTACATAAATTTGTACGTTCTACGTTACATGCAATCGTGTATTGTTAAAATTGTTTCATTAGTTTCCTCAATAGAAATATCGTTTTTACTTTTTGTTTGTATAAATTATGAGATAGTCAAAGACATATATTATGAGATAGTCAATTTTTGAAGGTCAACTATAATATTATGTCATAGTCATTCCCAAATGTCAACGACCCAACTCTATAGGCAACGTGATGAATTAATTACATAAATTTGTACGTTTTACGTTACATGCAATCGTGCATTGTTAAAATTGCTTTATTAGTTTCCTCAATAGAAATATCGTTTTTAGTTCTTGTTTTTATATATTTGATTGAATAAGTATTGATTCCACCCGTTTATTTACTTCCACACATTGATGTCTCAAAATAGTTGTCGGATAACAAAATGACAGAAGTCACAGTTGCGTTCTTTAAACTATATCTCCAACGCATATGTTAATGTTATGCTATGTTAGCCATGACTATATATATATATATATATATATATATCTCATATTTTATACGTTTTGCGCCAAAAAGAATATTGCTATTTTAGATTCTAGATTTACCGTTTTTAACAAATTTTAAGCTTTCGATAGTATATACCATTTCATGAGCCTTTTCTATAATAGACTATGCTCATACGTGCTTCCTCTCATGTTAGGCCTATAGCAATGAAGCTTTGTATCGTACGTATGTACCAAATAAAAATTAAAGGGAGAAGGTGATTAGCAACATAGTTTTTAATATGATTACAAATAAATGGCATAAATTTTCTAAAAGTAAGTATTTGGAATTTAATGCGTAAATACTATATTTACTCAAAAGATCGGATTTAGTTAATTTACGATATTTCATTAGGATATTGACTTATCTGCTGTGCGAATTTGATAAGAGTGCGTCTATTGATACTTCTCATTTTATTTTTCACACAAATATTCTTAAACCTCCCCATTCTACTTGTTATACCCCTCTTCAAATTTAAAAAAAGTCCATACAATTAAATCATCCTTCATTCTACTTTTCACACACATTCTTAAACCATCCTCATTCAGCTTTTTTTTAGTTGTTGGGTGAAAAAAAGAAAGAGAAATAATACAATTAAAACCTAAAATTTAATTCGTCATGGTTTAAGAAAACACAAGTAATACTTAATCTAACAATATATAAAAGAGGGCAAACTCTTTTCTATGTAACAGCCTCTCCACTTACCTTTTTTTCGCTTTTCTAATCTTTATTTTCTAATTTTTTTAAAAAAATTTATTTGTTGCCTCACCACTTACCTTTTTTTTCAAAAACTTTTTTATCTTTATTTTTTTGATTTTTTTACATTTTCATTTTTTTGTGTGTTTTTTTAAAAACATATTGTTCCTCGCTTTACTTTTATAGGAATAATTTTTTCCCATGTGTTCCTATTTTACTTTTAGATGGTTATAATAATTTTTTTTTAATGTATCCTTACTTAATTTTTTTAGTCAATTATTATCTTTACACATATTCATTTTTAAATTAAATTCAAAAATCCTTAAACAATTATATATTTCTCATTATTCAATAAATAATAAATTCTTCTGCATCTCCAACACAATAATACATGTGGAGCATCTTACCAAACTAGTACATATGTAATTTTCTCATAATCAAGAAGTTAATAATAATATTCATTAAAAGGGATCATATAATAATTTTCTCATAATTTTTAAAACTTTAAAGGTACAACTATTCATTAAAAATAAAAAGTTAATAGTAATAACATTTGTCAACGCAGGGAGGTATTCTTGGCTCTGGAACATTTGTAATTAAACCAACATAAATGAATAGTTGTCTTTGTATTTTGAATGAATACACCAACAGAAATTTTATATAAATGGTGAAAAACTCATATACTATGACGTGGTCAATTTTTCAAGGTCAAAGGGATCATATATTATTGGATAGCCATTTCCAAATGTCAATGAGCCAATTCCATTGAACAGCTTAACGAATTTGAACTCAGTATAAGATAAGTAAAAAACTATTAAGAACTATCACAAGAAATAATGAGAAACGATCAATGAAAACGATCCAAAAAACTAAGCTAACTTACTCCAGCGATAATGATAATTGATAGCGGTAGACAACGATGACAACAGACAGTTGAACGAATAGTTGTATTTTTAATACAAATGTTCCCGAATTTTTTTCTTTTTTCTTTTATTTTCCCGAGGAAAGAAATACAAATATTCCCAAATTTTCTTAATCTTTCTTTTCTATTTGGGAAATTAATAGTCGAATGAACCAACAGAAATCTATCATCTCTAAAGGAGAATGCGTTTCTTGAGGGAGCGACGAAACGGTTCGTCCGTTCAGCTCCCTCTTTTTTTCACCTCATTTTCTGTTCTTTTTTTCACCTCATTCTCTGGGTTTTTTTTTTTTTTTTTTTTTTTTTTTCCCCTCATTTTCTGGGTTTTTTTTTTTTTTTTTTTTTTTTGTTCCCACTAATATGTTATATTTTTTTAATCTACTTCATTAAATTATTTTTTCTGTAAAATAATATTTTTATACATTTATTGCTACTTACATATTTTTCTTCCAATTATCTAAAATATTAAAAAAAAATTCCTTCAAATGTGCCCCTGTAAATATATTTTTACTTCTTATGCGTGCACATTCAAATATTTTGTGTTTACTTAACTCTTAAGAGAAAAATAAGTAAGAAAGAAAGAGTTTAACTAAACTTTTAAGCAAATTTTATATTAGCGCTTGTTCTGACTAATCTTATCTAAAAGGTGAAAGACTTGTAGATTATGACATGCTCAATTTTTTAAGGTTAAAGGGATCTGCTTTATTCAAATATTTTGTGTTTACTTAACTCTTAAGAGAAAAATAAGTAAGAAAGAAAGAGTTTAATTAAACTTTTAAGCAAATTTCAAATTTGTGTATCGTGAATACGTACACGCATAGCGCTTGTTCTGACTAATCTTATCTAAAAGGTGAAAGACTTGTAGATTATGACATGCTCAATTTTTTAAGGTTAAAGGGATATCATATATGGGATAGTCCTTTCCAAATGTCAGTGAGCCAATTCCATTTGGCTATCTTAACTAATTTCAACTCATAATAAGATAATTAGTAAAAACTATCAAGAACTATCACTAGCAATAATGAGAAATGATAAACGAAAACGACCCAGAAAAAGAAACTTATTCTAGCGATAATGACAATTAATAGCGGTAGACAGCGATGACAATGGAATGAATAGTTGTATTTTAATACAAATGTTCCCAAGTTTTCTTAATTTTTTTTCTTCTATTTGGGAAATGAATAGTCGAATAAACCAATAGAAATTTATCTAAATATGGCGAAAGACATACTATGACATAGTCAATTTTTCAAGGTCAGAGGGATAATACATCATGGGATAGCCATTTCCAAATATCAATGAGTCAATTCCATTGGCTAGCTTAACTAATTTCAACTAATAATAAGATAAGTAAAAACTATTAAGAACTGTCACTAGAAATGATGAGAAACGATCAATACAACGACCCAGAAAACTAAGGAAACTTACTCTAGCTAGCGCGATAAGGATAATTGATAGCGGTGGACAGTAATCATGACAATGAACGAAGGTGATGGTAGATCAGAGAGACCAGATAACTGAATTTGTAGTAATATATAGATCATAAAAAATTAATGTTGATGAAACAAGATTAGGGCCTAAGTGTTTGTGCCTCGATGTGAACACTTATTTCCCTCCCAAACGACGGAAAAATGGCGACAAAATCACTTATTCATATGAGGGAGGAGGAGGAGAGTTTACCATTGAAATTTCTTTCCTAAGAAAAACAAGGGAGTTCTTTGGTAGGTCATGAAAAAAGAAACTATCAAAAATTTTACATTTTTAGCCGTTAAATTTATATCAAAAACTGTTTATCTGCATTAAGATTAGGGCTTTAATAATATATATTTTATATAATTGCTTCAAATTCTTTTTATCCTTGTAGAGATTTGTATCTATAGATACAAAGAGGTGGGCCTCACATGGTGGGATCTACTTTTGTGTCTTGATAAGAATAAATCTTTATTAGGACAAATAAGAGTAAATCCCTGTTGGGACAAATAGGAATGTGATCTTTAAGTTCACAAAATAAAATAGACATTATAAAAGTGAGACACGGCAGGTCGGCCAGTCTCCTTTTTCGTGCATCATTTCATATTTTTCTAAAATTTTATTATTTATACGTTTCTTCAGTTTCTTAACTTGCTTCTAGTCCCAACAAATGGCGTGTTCTCATATGTAAATTTCAGCATCAGGCAAACCATTTTGACATAATCAAAAGTTTATTGCAGTACGTAATAATTTATTTATGCGACAAATCAAAGTCATTAGAGTTAATAATTTCTCATTGGTGGTACGTATATATCATATGCATATTTGTCAACCGTAATCGGTTTTCTTATTCAAGGATTACGCATGATTCAGGTATGACGCTCATATAATATTCGTTAGAAAAATAGTTGGATTGTATCCATGCTTAATTTACAAATCAACCAGCAAGCATTTCTTGTCTATATAATGGAGGCAATTAGGATCCTTTTATTCATATTATTCCAAAAGTAATCTGCTCAAAAAAAGAAAAAAAAAAATGAAGTACTTTGCATTCTCTCCCTCGTTTGCCAAAATTATCATGATGTTTCTTTTTCCATTTGTATTGGCAGCTTCAGCTTATAACAATCATGAACACTTTTTGCAGTGCCTGACCACTCGTATTTCCGAGTCCAACTCTACCTCACCCATTATCTACACTCACGATGATCCGTCGTACTTCACTGTATTGAATTCATCCATAAATAATCAGCGCTTTTCTTCTCCTTCAGTCCCAAAACCATTTGTTATCATCACGCCATTTCACGTCTCCCACGTCCAAGCCACTGTTTTCTGCTCCAGAAAACACGGCATGCAAATCAGAACCCGAAGTGGTGGCCATGATTATGAGGGCCTTTCTTATGTGTCCAGTGTCTCGTTTGTCATAATTGATCTGAGAAACCTTAATTTGATCAACGTAGACGTGAAGAGTAAATCTGCTTGGGTTCAAGCTGGAGCTACCATTGGGGAACTTTATTATAGGATTGCTGAAAAAAGTGAAAATCTCGCCTTCCCAGCCGGTGATTGCCCTGGTGTGGGTATTGGTGGACAGATCGGTGGAGGAGGCTATGGCTATTTGGCACGAAAATACGGCCTCGCAGCTGATAATGTTCTTGACGCGGAAGTAATCGATGTTAAAGGAAGAATTCTTGATAGGAAATCTATGGGTGAAGATTTGTTCTGGGCCATACGTGGTGGCGGACCAGCAAGCTTTGGAATCGTTCTTTCATGGAAACTTCAACTATTTCCTGTTCCATCGATAGTGACTGTGTTTGATGTAAGTAGGAACATGGAAGACAATACAACAAAGAAGTTCGTTCATCAATGGCAACGCCGTGCTGACAAAGTTGATGAGGATCTATCAATCTATGGCAGGTTCCAAACTGAGAGTTCTGTTGATAATGAAGGCAATAAAAAAATTGTGCTGCGTGCTTCTTTCCGCGCAACATACCATGGCGGTGTGGATAAGCTCCTTCAATTGATGCAAAAGGAGTTTCCTGAATTGGGTTTGCTAAGACAAGAGTGCCATGAAATGAAATGGGCCGAAACCTTTCTCTTTCTCAATTATCTCAGAAATGGAGAATCCTTAGATGTTCTACTTAATAGGACATCTACTATCAAGTCGGCATTCAAAGCAAAATCTGACTTTGTGAAAAAACCTATTTCAGATGACATATTCGAAAAAATGTTGGGAAAGTTGTACGAAGTGGTAGGAAGTGCTTTTATTGATCTATTCCCTTTAGGAGGGAAAATGAACGAGATTTCGGAATCCGCAATCCCGTTCCCATACCGAGCTGGAAACCTCTACAACATTCATTATTTAGTTGGATGGCAAGAAGATGGGAATATTACAACGTCCAAAAAGCTTGTGGATTGGATAAGAAAGTTTTACAATTACATGACTCCTTATGTGTCAAAAAATCCGAGGGCTACGTATCTCAATTTCAGAGACCTTGACATCGGCACTAATAATAATGACGACACCACAAGTTCTTATAAAAATATTGCACGGGCAAGGATTTGGGGTACTAAGTATTTTAAAGATAATTTCTATAAATTAGTTTACGTAAAGACTATAATTGATCCAACTAATTTCTTTAGAAATGAACAAAGCATCCCACCTCTTCGTAGGAATTAAAATTATGGTGATTAGAGATCCTTGTTGGGTTAAACTAAAACTATTGTCATTAGCTTTCTTGTTTCGTCCTTTTAAAATAAAGGTCTTCTTCCGACCATGTCATGTATGTGTACGAATTTTATGAATACAAATAAAACTCTATTGCTATGCTTTAGAATTTCTTTTACAATATGTTGATTGAGAAAGTGATGCACAAGCGCATGATCGACCATTCTCGTACTAATTTACCAACAACAGCCCCACTACTTAAAAAAGCATAAAGTAATTTAAATTTCAATTCATGTGCTACAATAACAAGAATTTCATATATGGTTTCTCATCAACTAATACAAACAAAATATACCTAAAAAAAAAAAGACCTGTATCTAAGCATACATAAAAGTACATAAAAAAAAGTCAAAAAGAATATTCATCTTTTAGTTATGTACCAATCTCTCTCTCTCTCTCTCTCTTTTTCTTACATGTTTGTTTTTGTTTTCGTTTTTTTTTACTTTTCTATTTCGTTCGCTTTTGGTTACTAGCTTTTTTTCCCTCCATTTTGTTTAGAACTTGTATACAGTTTATTTATAGCTTTTTTCTTTTTTCTTTTTTTTTTTTTGCTTATTGTCTATTTTTGTTTTGTCGTAATATTTTTTGACAATTCATTTTTTTTACAGTATCCTTATTTGAAATACTCACTTTCTTTTAATTAAAATAATTCCTTTTCAAATATTTTCTTACTTTTTTTTTTTGCCAATCCTAAACAACTTGAATTCTTTTTTAATGTGATTTCTTGATTTTTTTTTTGTTTGCCTCTTGATCCAAGAGATCACGTGTTTTAACGCTACAAAAACTTACAAAGTTATTCTTCACATGCTACGACGGGTTTAAATGAAAGTGAGAAAACTCAGGTGTTCTACATATTAGAGAGTACTATACATTCCAAAGTTTGGAGATATATTAACCCCAAGTAACATAGTCTAATGAGAATTCATGTAATTTTTTATAGAGTTTCTCTCATAGGCCAATCATATTAGTATTGTCAATTTCTAACCGTTGAATCAGATTAAAAAAATATGTATAACAGATAATTTTTTATACAAATTTAACGGCTAAAAATAAAGAACAATTAATAGTTTATTTTTTCTAATTCTATCGGAGAAGTTCCAATTTTTCCTCTAAAATTTTATGCTATTATGGATCGTGGCTTGCACATGTACATAAATTTTATGTTTTTATAATAGTTCGTGTATAATTATACCAGTTGCCTTAATTATCAAGCAAAAAAAGCCAAATAAACTACCACCAAACAAACAAAAACCTGAAAAAAAAAAAAAAAAAAAAAAACACGACTTTCTCAAATTTGATCTTCTTCCTTGACTCAAGCCTCGGCCCATGATTCCTTACCGTTTAGTTTCTCATATTATAAATCATTCCACGCAAATACCCACCTAAGAGGCTAACTGGTTAAAACAAACGACAAGCATGCATTTACCAACGTGCGTGAACCAGTCATCACCGGAGTTCGTACTCCGGCTACGACGAAAACTCCACAAAGAAATGCAAGTCCGTCTTCGTCTCGTCTCCGGAGAAAAAGGGTGCCAGCCGCCAGCCGGGGCTGGCTGACATCGCCGGCGATTAGGGAAGAAGTGGAGGAGGGAGAACGGCATCGCCGAGTGCTCTGTCGAGGACGAGCTCTGGATTGGCCATGGAGGAGAAGGTCGGGCTTGGTATTCTAATCGGAGGCGGCGCCGGCGACGGAGAAAGTGGTGGTGGTGGCGGCGGTGATGGCGAGGAAGAGCATTGGGATTGGGGTTGGTGGAGGGACAGTTATGATTTGTATTATCGGAAGATGATCAACAAGTACTCTGGAAATGCCCTGTTTCTTGGGAATTACGCAAAGCTTTTGAAAGAGGTAAAAACTAATTAGAAATGCACTACTGATAGAAAGCCGTTGAATCTATTCGGGATGCTATTTTATACTTTTTTATTTTAATGAAATTCTGATTAGATTTAACATTTAGAAACATGTATTATTAGTTGGTCCTATTAACATAAAAAGCCATTCAAATTTGACAAATTGACAATTAATATAGCTTGCTTGGAAATAAGGAAAACAAGTTCAAGGTTGTCATGTCTAAAATTACTATACCGTTTAATGTTATGATACTGAATAGCTTGCTTGTAATTGAAAATGAATCGAACTATTGATTGTCATAAAGACCTTTATGTCCACTCCCTCATCGTCCCCAAGCAGAATATCTGCTTCTTAAAGATTATTAATACTGTGGCCAATCTCGAAATTACTTGTGTACATAAGACCAACAATAATGGAGATATTCTAGAGTGCGAGCATCCTACTGTAAGCTTTTATGAGACTGTTGATCGAAATTTTATGATTTAAGTTGGACGGTGCATATTGTATGAGGCTGGATACGATAAGAAAAATTTTTCAGCGACAATATCACACTAACTTTAAAAGCACCGTCTGCTTTAAATCATGCTGCTGAGATTAATGGCCCCACAACGGGTGCTCCCACCATAGAATTTCCCTTGGTTATGCTGTGCAACTTTTATGCAAAATGTTTTGTAGTTTTGAGACTTGGAGATTGTTGAATGGTTTTGTATTGAACATAGATAAAGAGGTGATGGTTTTAAAGCGGAAGAATACTGTGAAAGAGCGATTTTGGCTCAACCAAGTGTTGGGATGTTTTGTCCATGTAAGGAGATTTGATATGGCATTTTGCACAAGGATGGGCCTCGTGCTCAGACCTACTTCAATCAAGCTAAAGAGAACGGAAAAAAAAAAAAAAAAAAAAAAAAAAAAAAAAAAAATTTTTTTTTCAAATTTATTTTATTTCAAGCTTTTCACCAGAATTTTCTAAGAGCTTTTAGGGGTTTATCATAACCAACAATTTTTCTATTTGTGTTTTTTTTTTTTTTTCCCCGATCACGTTAGATGAAGTATGTTTGATGTTAAACCTAAGTGGGGTCATGAACTGAGTTTCATAATCACCAGAGTAAGTACCTAAAAGATTATTTTATTTGTTGGGGATTTTCTGCTTGATTTTGGTTGGATTTTCTTGTTCTATGGTAAGACTCTTTCTCTTCAATTATTGTTCTCTCCATATTTGTTACTGCTTTCTTCTGTTGTTTGGGAGTATATGGTTTTGTTTTCTTTGTAGTATTTATAATGCTTGTGTTTGAATACAGTTGTGTTATTGCCGCGTATGCGAATTTCCAGTGGGATGCTGGCGACGAAGCGGATGAAGATAGAAATGAAAATCACGGGATGCGCACAAAACGTAAACATGAATATCACCACCCAATATTTCCCAAGAATTCCGAATCCCGTTCTCTTCAGTTTCTAGTCTTAAAATTAGCCAACAAAATGTACATTGCAGAGCAATCAAATAGTGGAAATCATATTTAAGAACATTTGTGAATCATGGATAACTGCCCTTATTCCAAGGAAGGTTCTCTGAATACTTATTCCTTTGGTTCAGATATTCCATTCAGATGCTTGTTGCTTCTCTCCCTTGGACCCATAAAAGGGTATTCCAGGCTTCCCACTTGGTCTCCTTTTTCTTTATCTGCATTGCCAAAACGCATAAAGAGAGTAAGTACAGCAGTTATTCTAATTTTCATAGAGTTGAAGTTGAGTTTCTCAACTTGAGCATGCTGTCTGGCAAACCCTCCTTTCGTATTCGTATTATGTTGTATCGTATTGTAGATTATATCGCACTATTTCTGGGACCAAATCTCTCTCATTCTCTTCATTAAGGGCAAGTCAAAAGTCAGGGCAATTCGTTACATTAGCATGGTTACATTGGTGCAAATTGTCATGGAGGTGTATAACTTATGAACTTAACTAATAGGCCCCAGCTAACAATAGTCATATTTTAGCATTGTCACTGGCATTTTGTAGTTGTTAAACAAAGCACATGTTAGAGAAGTTGTCCAAACTATTCTCGCCTTCATTTCATGAGTGTTGGAAAAAGCTTCAGAATGGCCTGGATCAACGAACCATGTTAAGCATACTCCAAAGGTTATTTCATGAGTGTTGGAAAAAGCTTCAGAATGGCCTGGATCAACGAACCATGTTAAGCATACTCCAAAGGTTACGATATAGTAAGAAAAGTTGTAATACCTTAATTGGTTCAAAAATAGTGATTGCAAGATTCAAAAGATCGCTGACATATAATTTGTTCTGATCTAAGTTAAATCTACCAGCTAGAATACAAGCAAAACTTGAGTTGATATTAATGGCGAAAAGGGCAGTAGGACTAGATAGGACTTTGCTTAATTGCATTGCATACCATTGTCAATTTATCATGGCACAAGAAATTCTTACAAAGTGCAAGAACTAATTGTTTATCCACCCCTCCGTTTCTCTCATCCATGAGGTTCAGACGTCATCTTCCCCCATTGATTCACTGCCAATGTCAATCACACCACAAAAAGTTGTCATCTCCCTTCTCTTTCTCTTTTTATCTGTTGTTTCCGGTATATAAAGTAATCTGAATCTTTTCTTTCTTTTTCTTTTTTTCACAAATAACTAAAATATAGAAACTTCTTTATCAAGGGCTTTCGGTATGTAACAAGTTTGAGCTGATTTAGTGATATGAATCTTTCATTGTGAAACACCAGATAAATGCTTACCCATTCTGTAATTCATCCTCCTGTTTTCCTTTCCGCTCCAGTCAGCCAGAGAGTGATATAGATGCTTAGCCTGGTACAAAAAACAAGAAATGTTATCCTAGTAGTATATAACGTTAAGCCTAATCAAAGTGCTAAACTTGAAGATAGAAAAGTCACGAGTACCTTAAAAAAAATGAGGTCAAGCCTTTGACGAATGACGATGAAAACATTGAGGTTGCGTTTGGTATAAGGGTTCTAGAACCGGAATCATGATTCTAGTTCAAACCTTTGTTTGTTTGCAAAAAGTAAAAAATGGTTTTGAAAATCAGTGTTTGGTTGGTTCTGGTTCAAGGTTTGAATCCTGATGTGATGTTTTAAACCATAACCACCCCAAAAAATAAAACCACAACCCCCCCTCTCCTTTGATTTTGGATGGTTCAAACCCCTGATTTTGATTCTGGTTTCAGAACCATGGTTTGGACCCCAAGTTCAAACCATGAATCCTAGTTATGGTTCTAAAATCAAAACCACCCTCATTTGAACCCTCATAACAAATGCAACCTGAACGTCATATTCAACAATTCCTTCTTTTGGAACAAAAGAAAACCTTCAAACTTCTCAAAACGAATTATCCTAAGCACGTGAAAATCCAGGAAGTTTAAACATTCCTTTCACCTTTCTGTTCAAAAGAATATCATAAGTCGTGTCATCGGGTACAAGACCTCTATCGAGCATCTCATCATGCAACCTAAATGCTTCTTGCAAATTCCCCTCCTTAGAGTGTCCTGCAATCAAGACATTATAGATAAGAACATTAGGGGCCACACCCTTTCCATCCATATCTTCCAAGACCTTGCGTGCAGCTCCCAGCTGTCCTTTGTTACAAAGGCCTTTTATTAGAGCTGTATATGTGACGATATCAGGCACAATACCCTTGGAAAGCATTTCTAAGTAAAGATCTGATGCAATGTGTAATTTTCCCTCTTTCAGCAATCCGTCAACTAGTGCAGTGTATGTTATCAAATCACAGGGAATCCCTTCATCTAACATTCTCTTATGCAAGCGAAGAGCGGCTTCCATATTACCTAAAGTCCGGAAGCCACAAATCATGCTGGTGTAAATGGTCGTATTTGGAGATGAACCAACTTCAAGGAGCTCAGAGAAAAGTTCATAAGCAGTTACTATGTCACGCCCTTTGCAAAACCCATCAATCAGGGCACCATATGCAGTAACATCTAACTTAATGCCCTTATCTTTCATCTCATTCCTCATTTTCAGAGCAAGAGCCATATTTTTGCTTTTCAAAAAGCCCTCAATCAAGCTGGTATAAGTGACAACATTAGGAGAAACCCCACCTTCACACATTTCTCTGTAAACTTCCAGTGCAGAATTAGTATCACCCTTCTTGGTAAACCCGTTTATAATACTATTATAAGTCAAGCAGACGGGAATAAAACCCTTCTTAACATATTTTTTCAACTCGTCCCTTGCTTCAGATGCGCGACCAACTCTGCACAACCCATTAATGATAGTGTTATATGTGTAATCTGTGGGGGCTATATTTACAGCCATCATTTGTTCATAGACATTAAAGGCACGTTTAACGTCACCTTTTTTAAAGCACCCATCTATCAGGATGGAATATGTGAACACATCTGGTTTTACACTCCTCTCAAGCATCTCCGTAAAGAGATTATGTGCCATATCCAAAGCCCCTTTTCTGCAGTGGCAAAGTATCATACTACTATAAGACACTACGTTAGGCACCACATCCTTACTGATCATATTGTCCCATAAAGCACAAGCTTCATTTACTTTACCCTCATTACAAAGCGAATTCAAAAGAGTATTGTACAGGAAAGTATTAGCAACACCACACTCAACTGCCTCGTTAAATAACTTTGAAGCATCTTCAAATTTTTGAAATTTCAACAATCCATGTAACAACCAATTCATGACATAGGCATCAGGCTGTATATTTGTGATTTTCATCCGGTTGTAGAGCTCAAATGCTTTTTCCATGTCTCCATTCTTGGAAAACCATTCTATCAGGACTGCATATGTAATCTTGTTTGGGGAGACCCCATACTCATTCATCTTATATAATAAATTCAAAGCACTACTCAAATAGCCTTGCACACAATAACCCTTCATCAAACTTGTCAGAACAACCACATTCAATGGTTTCCCACAACTCACCATTTGATCCTTGACCTTCAAGGCTTCAACCATATTCCCTTGCTTCACACAAGCCGTGACAACACTAGTAAAAGTACCCTCGGAAGGGACCCAACTCATATCTCTCATCTCCTTTAGCAACTCAGAAGCTACTTTACAATTTGGTTTCTTACAAAATGCTTGAATAAGAAAACTATAAGCCGCAGCATCAAGTTCTATACCTCTAACCGTCGCCTCTCTAAAGTATTTCTCCGCCTCCTCTTCCCTCTCTTTCTTCAAACAAGCCCTCATCAACACAGGCACAGTCACACGATCGCCAAAAACACCCCTCAAAACCATCTTATGATGCAAATCTAGAGCTTCCCTTGACATATTTCTTCTGATCAAGGCCGTTAAAAGAATGTTCATAAACGGAACCCAGGGTAATATATCATGCTCCACCATCTTATTAAAACAATGAACAGCATCTCTTATTCTATTAGCTCTAATGTAACTATTCAACAAATAATTAAAAATCCGAGAATCAGGTTCAAACTCAAACCTTTTTGCACAGTCGAACAAGTGATCAACAAAGACATTTGCTGAGGGACCGGAATCACCAGAAACATACAGGCTAAGCAAACTTTGAGCACTGCCATGAGTCTCCTGAGAACCCATCAAAATGTGAAGCAAAACAGAGAAACTATCCACGCCTCTAATGAAGCCTCTCATTCTCTCAGCCCACTTGAAGTACTTGAGAGCTGAATAGGGGTCGTTCTTGTGGCTTAGGAGAGTGTTTATGACATGGGCTTGAGTCAAATCTGTGCTGAGTGAACATAGGTTTCGATTGGGATCGACTTCAGAGGTGGGTTTCTCTGCAGAGTTCGACTCTGAAGTGAATTCGTCAAGTGACTTGGTGGCTAGGCTTGGGCTTGCATTCTCAGAAACTGGCGATTCAGAGATGACGGACTTATCAGGAATTGTGAATTCATGGCATAGATAGCGAGGGTGTAAGAAAGAGCGGCGCAGCAATGGAGAGATTGGTGAAGAAGTGATCGAGGATCTCATTGTTGATTTCGTGAAGAAGAAGCAAAACCCATGGAGATTAACGGTTAAGCCTTGGAACGTCTGGTTTCGATGTTGAAAAGTAACAAACTTGAGAAAGGTGGGAGGAAATTATCCTCCAACGCCTGAAATAAATGCCAATGGAAATAAATGGAAGTAACCAATAACTTAGCAAACACAAACAAATTAAGTTCATTTCTCTGTTTCCCGTCAATCACAAGATAAAATATCAACACATTATCTTTTGTTTTGATTTCGCTTTGGGCACTAAATTCACCAAACGCATTAATCACCAATTCAAAATAAAACTAGCAACTTGACTGTAAAGTTCCCAGCTTTTTAGTAAAAAAATTTTAGTATAAAAGAAAGAGTTTCATAAACTAGGGCATGAAGTTATGTTCTTGAAAAAAATAAAATAAAATACACCAAAAAAAAAAAAAAAAACAGACGGGAACAAAACTAGGGCTCTTTTAAGAGCATCAAATTCAAAACAATATTTACAAAAATTAAAGGGGCTGAAAGATCGACATAGAAAGCAAGGGGTTGTAAAACGAAATGGGGTCCAAAGAAAAAATAATTTCGCCAAAAAGATGCAGAAATTGAGCAAAATATGGGGATTAGGGCTCAAACAAAATTCAAGAACGAAATAGTGTCAGAATCTCAGCAATATGGGAGCTAAATTTCTTTGATGAGAGAGAGAGAGAGAGACCAACAAATAGGCAACAAAAACAAATCCAAGAAACAAAACAACAAACAAAGATCCTTAAAACTCATACCAATCGGCGGAATTCTGATTCTATCCCATAAAGACAAACCTGGCAGCAATGTTTCCGTTCAATTCGGCGACGGAGAGCTTGCCGCCGCCATGGCAGGATCTCCAAAACTTGGGATGGCTTCAGCAAAAGGCGGCTGTGGTTGGTTTCGGTGACGGGATGCCGCGAAAGATCAGTAGCCTTCGGTCACTTCGATTTGAGTTTTTGTTTTCTTGGTAAATTGCATGTATGCACCCTTAATTTTTCATTTATTTACATATTGCAACTACTTGAGTTTGAGTTGTGTATATAAGAGAAAAATATTGGGTGCGTTTAGAACTCATTTTAAAATGCATTTGCTAATTTTAAATGCTTATTTTTATATAAAAATAAAAATGAAAATGTTTTCAATTTAAGACAGAAATCATTTTTAAAAATGTATTTGGTAATTTTATTAAGAGATTGTTTTCAGTATAAAAAACTTATTCATGTCTTTCTCTGCTCGAGAGAGGAGAAAATGCAGACAAAAAATGAAAAACGACTAAAAGTAGTTTTTCATTTCTCTCTCATTTTATACTAAATTAAAAAATTATTTTCATTTCTATTTTTTATAATTAAATGTGTTAAACGTCGTTTTAAAATTATTTTCATTTTTTCATTCTCATAAAACGTAAAAAATAAAAATAAGAACAATTTTAAACATGACAATTATATTAAAAAAATAACATTTAAATTTAATACTATAAGAATTACGAAATGAACGAGCCTTAAATTTTAACATCTAGGAAACTCTGCAATCATTGACAACACAATCTAAATCAATAACGAACACGATTGTCCGGTCGTATAAAAATCTTGAGCAACTTTTGTCTAGTGATTACATCCTTTCCATTATTGCAATAAATGTTATAATTTAGGGTGTTATTGTTAAAATTGGAAGTTCGTAGTTTAAATTGTCAAATAATGAAAGTTTAGGATCCATCAATACAATAAACTCTAGGCCTCGTTCGTTTCGCAGATTCGAGTTTAGAATTCGAGTTGAGATGTGATTGTATGTGAGAGCTTTTTACTGTAGTAAAAAAGTTAGATGTGATTATTTGTGAGAATTTTTTACTGTAGCAAAACTTGAATTATAAACTCGAATAAGCGAAACGAACGAGGCCTTTAACTTTTTTCAAATTAAGGTTACTAGTGTTTGTTTTCGAAAAGCTGTTTTTAACTTCTGCCTTCAACAGTCTTTTAGAAGTGTTTCTTCTTTTTTTTAAAAAAAAAAACTTCTAGTTAAAGCTATATAAAATGAGGCTTCTAAAATAGCACTTTATAATAGACTTTAAAACTTATACCAAAATTTCACTAAGGTATTATAAATTTCATTCCAACATTTTTATTATTTATCTCATTTCAACACTTTTATTACTTATTAGAAAATTTAAAAATTGTTTTAACTCATTATGTTTTTATATTCCATACACTTATTGAAAAATCATAGCGTTTGTTTCTCTTCTTCCAGTGATTAAAAAAAAATTCCTGCCAAACAAACCCTTAGTGTTGTTAGCTCCTGAACATTGAGCATTATAGGCCTTGTTCGGTAAGGTGATTTTTGAGTTAAAAACTCAAAAAAAAATAACTCGAGTTATAACTTTATTCGAATTCATGTTCTTTTAAGTTTGAACTCGAGTTTGAACTCGAGTTTGGAACTAAAACTTGAGTTCAAGCTTTCCCTTCAACTCGAGTTCAGAAACTCGAACTCAAGTTAATGAACAGTATTTTTTCTATTCTTAAAAATGCTATAACTTTTTCGTTTTAATTCTGATTGAGATGATTTTTTTTTCTATACGTTGACAACGAAAAGACGAATAAAATTATACCTATATACCCTATTAAAATTTTTCATTAGCATTGAGTTTTTATTAAAATACTATCTAAAAACAAATTCAAGTTTTGACTTTCTCAAACACAAACTCAAAAAAAGATTCTTATCTCAAACCATAACTCAAATGTACACAATCAAACACAAACTCAAGTTACAACTTCAACTCAAGTTATAACTCAAACTCACTCAAAATCTACACTCAAGTTATATAACTCAAAAATATCAAAAGAACAAGCCCATAGTGCCTTGGTCCAATGAAAATTTAATTTTGACAAATTAACATCTGAATTTTTACTTTTTGACAGATTTGATCCCTTATACTAAAATTGGTGGAGGACTTTTGAAATTTAACTCATATAATTACAATCATGTCACTTAATAACTGAAGATTTTACACAAGTAGTTATGTTAAGTGTCAAATATTCTTACCTTAATGAGTTTTAATAGTACTGAAGAGAACATTTTGCACATAATACAAAATACAACTAGTTATGTTAAATTTCAAGTTAATACACAATTGGCATGCTTATTTATGGTTTTGATCATGTGTTGAGGAGACCTCAGCTTGTGTGTGTGTGTTTTATGGGATTTTTTTGTGTGAATTTAATAAACATTTTGCCATTTTCGTTTTTTTTAAGTTTTCTTATTTTAAAAATTTTATATTTTATATAATAAGTTCAAATTTATAATTAAATTGTATTATTTGTGTCAGCATGCCTCTTAAATTTTGAAATGTATTTATTATGTCACATAATCTCTAATACATCTCCAGATTCACCTTTTAAACTTAGAAATGCACTATTTTTTAGATGGAATATAACACATGCAACACACGTAAGAAATGCAAATTCATCAATTTTTTTTTAAAACCTTTAATTAACCAAAATTGAATGAACATTCATTCTCCACCTTTTGACCCACTTTTCTTGCTTTTGAGCAACTACTCCAAAGAGAGAATTCATCAAAGGTTTGGTACCAAACTAGTTTATTTTTGAGCTAAGTAAGACATTCATTAACTCTTAAAGACCTTCCACCAAGCAGTAACTCAGTAATTCTATCAAAAAAAAAAATAGTGGATTTCAAAGTTATAGATTTAAGGGGTTGTTTAGTACATGCGCATTCATACCAAATCACAATTTTGCTATAGTATTTTTCTTTTTACAAAAAATTTAAATCAAACAAAAAGAATTCCTTTAGTCACTGCATATTAGATCACTTCCTAGAGAAGAATTCTATAAGAATTCCTTTCATCTATCCAAAACAAACAAAAAGAAAGAAAAACTTTTATAAGTTATTAACACTGATGTTCTCTCGTATTAGGAAGCTGGTCTTATGCTTCGTTTGATAGTAATATTGACTCGAGATGTTAAGGTTGTAAATGCAAATATGAGGAAAAAAAGACAAGTTTTTTTGCGATGTTATGCAGCGGAATGAAGGAAAACGAATTTTACCAGCTTAATCTAGATGGAAGATTTCTGAATCTACCTAAAAACAACTATACATGGGGAAAACCTCCAAATTAGAGAGAAAACATAAGTCTAGTATTCAAAAATCTTCTTTTAGAATTAGTAATGTGGCTATTTATAGCTCACATACAAAAACGATAACAGAATACCAACTATGTCAAACAACATAATAGTAAAAAACACAACAATTAAACTAGACATTAAGACTTTTCGTAAAATTACTAGACCGATATACTAATTATATTATTCTTCTTATATCAGCTCACATACAAAAACGATAATAGAATACCAACTATAACAAACGACATAATAATAATAATAGAAACAACAATTAAACTAGACATTCAGACTTTTTCGCAAAATTGCTAGATTAATACACTAATTCTATTATTCTTCCCGGATGAGATGTCCTAATCACATACAAACGCATGGTATCATCAAGGCTCTATTGTCAAACACCCCACAAGTGGGGTTAATTTATGGAAGAAACAAAGAAGGAAAATTTTCCCCCATAATCCTATCATTCTCCCGGTAGATAAGCCGTCCCCTTCTTTCACTTCCATACACGACATATTCAATCGCTTTCATTTGTCCCCTCTATTTATTATTATCTCTACCTACAAGTGAAAGAAACTCTAGTAATTCTTAATCTAAAAATTCCCATAAAATTTCTCAACAAATTTATCGTTTTAGAAAAAGTAGTTAAAAAACAAATATAAGTTATAGTTAAAAAAAAAACAAATATAACTTATAATTAGGAGCGTGGACTAATTATGTCCACGTGATGAACAAAGAAAAATGATAACTTATTTGCAAAAGCAGTTCAACTAAAACTTCCAAAACAACTAACACTCAACCTCTACACAAAAGGTGCCACATGAAGTAATGAGATCAATCAACAAAAAAAAAAAAAAAAAAAAAAAAAAAAAAAAAAAAAAAAAACACGGGGTTCAATCAAAGCCATGACAACAGAAGATTTCAGCTTTCCAACCGAAAAAATTCCTTCTAGCACGATTGACTCTCCGCCGCTGTGGCGCTCTCCTACTGCCTCGAGTAGTACTGCCGATGATCGCCAAGAAATAACGTCAAAAGAAGAAGAGCAACTGAGCACCGAAGTCGGAAAGAAACTGGCCGGGTTTAATCCAATAAGGAGCCTGTCATGCACAGGACGTGGTCGGAAGAGAGACGGCGTCGAGGAGGGCGAAAACGAGGATCTGCAGGAAGAAAAGATGGACTCGCTGTGGGAAGATTTCAACGAAGAACTGTGGAGTTGTCGGAGTTCAAGAGCGGATTCTGATATGTTTTCTGGTGATCATCACCATCATCAAATGGTAGAATTGGATCGTGTTGATCAGGCTTTGAAGTTGTCCAAAACTAGGAACAATAAGCCACATTCCATGGTTATCGTTTTGAAGATATTGAAGAAACTTTTCCTGCTTCAGAATCACTCTCCTACTCACCATCATCATAACAGGAAGCTCAAAACTAGCCGTCCTTTGTGATCCAGTTTCCCTAGAGATCATGAGATATTTGTAATTAATTTTGTAAACAACTGGCCTTATTGTTATTTTTGTAGGAAAATATACAAGAATGTCATAAAAAAAGTACACTTTTATTTCTGCCATCAATTTTATATTTTTCATTTTTGTCATTAATATTTTGATATAATATTTTTTTTATATTTTATCAGAATATTTTTTAGCTGACATTTTTCTTATTCTGGTAGAATACGTTTTAATATGATGACAAATAATGATTATTCTTGTAATTTTTTTTTTAATATTGTATTATGGTCAACTCTTTGATGACAAGGTTATAATTATAAAAGCTATCCTATTCAATTTACTAACCTTTTTTGTGTTGGGTCTACTGATCTGCCCCTTTCTAATTTTAAAGATCATATAGGCCAAATATACCCCCTTCTTTTTTTATTATTTTAAAACAAGATTAATTAGTGAAACCTTTACAACATATTCCAAGTTTGGGGACCATTAATTAGGCATACTTTTGCAAATGCAAAAAATGACAAAATCAGTAGAATATATTCGCACCTATTTTTCAAATATATTGGAAGAATACGGTTGTTATTTTATTGCTGTTGAAGCAAAAGGCTACGTGTTTATACATGGACAAACGGGCACCGCCATGACAGATATGCGAAGACAAATATTAGACAGATTTTTATCCTCTTCTGCTTGGCTTAGTCACTGGGACACTATTTCGGCTTATAATCCCACGAAGTATTAGGTCAGATCGTAACTCGCTGGCGTTTTCAATCCACGGGCTCTTTTCACCAGTCCAAAGCCTTTTAGATCTTCTGTTTGGTGAAAAAACTAATAATAATAAGAGTAATTTACACATATGATCCTTAAATTCTTTAATAAGTGACAATATGATTCGTTCATTTCACTGATTTGAGTTTTCAGTTTTAAGTTTTTACAGTAAAAAACGCTCAAAAAATATCACATCTAACTTTTTTTGCTACAGTAAAAAGCTCTCAGAAAATGTCACATCTCAGCTTGAATTGAAAACTCAAATTCGCGAAGTGAACGAAGTAGTCTTTAAATTTTTTTTTAGCAAAACGACTCCCAACCTCTTTAAAAGGTAACAATTTAGTCTTTTCTGTTAAATTTTTAAGAGAACATGTCGCAACCCATCACGTTACTCCTTTTTATCAATAAAATGACTTAAATGCTCCTATTAGTAAAGTCTTCTTCTTCTTCTTTTTTCCCCAAATTTCATCTCCAAATCCAACAAATCAAAGCTGTAAATCTCTCTTTCATCTCCAAATTTCACCATCTTTCCTCTTTCTCATACAGATAAACAACTTTTCATTCACTTTCTCGCAGATCAATAATTTCATATCAAAACTAAAAAAACTTTTCAAACAAATAATCAAAACCAAAAAATTGCCAGCACAAATTTGCAAAAACAATTGCAATAAATTAATTACCTATAAAATTTTGAAAAGATTTCCCATTCCTTCCTCTCACAAATCCTGTCCCCCTCGCCGCTAGTACCCGGATACCCCGCCATCACTACCCAGCCCTATCGCAGCTCTGTCCCAGTGTCCCCAGCGACGTAGCGACCAGCTTTGGCGACCCCAACATTGACCCCAGCGAACCCCTTCCCCATCGCGCCCAACCCCGGCCACCTTCGTGGCAACTAGCTCCGGCGAACCCCTTGTCCATCGCGCCCAACCTCGGCCAGCTCCGTGGCGACCAGCTCCAACCCCCACCCGCAGGACCAGGCCCGTCGCATCGTCCTAGCGACCCCACCCAAATCTGCCAACCCCAACGTCGAGAGAGAGAGAGATACTGAAGAAGGAAAGTGTTTTTGGAGATGAAATTTGGGGGAAAAAGAAGAAGAAGAATGCTTTTCTAATGGGGCATTTAAGTCATTTTACTGAAAAAATGAGTCACGCGATGGGTTACGTGACATGTCTTGTTAAAAATTTAACGAAATTTGACAAAAATGACCAAACTGTCACTTTTTAAAAAGGTTGGGGATCGTTTTACTCAAAAAAAATTAGGGATCAAATTGTCACTTACTAAAGAGTTTGGAAACCATATGTGCAAATTATTCTAATAATAATAATAATTGCAACAAAATGATTAGTCCTGCCGGCCGGAATCCAACACCACCGTACTTGGTTGGCTCGGATGTCTCGACTAGTCCATTGGCATTTGGCATCGGAAGGACATGCTACCGGTAGGACTTATAAAAATACCATTTGACCACAAATCCAATGGTATGAAATGAGGACTTATAATTCTTATAGTGTTCCCGCCTGTATAAGAATATTGAGAATATTTTTATTTTTTTTAACCTCGTAATTAATATACATTCTTGAAAAAAATTAAAATTTAACACAAAAAAAAAAAGCTTATGCAGAAAAAAGAGTGTTATGCAAAAATGGAGCTCAAAAGAATAGTGGTCAAGCCAATCTGCTAAAAAAAAAGATCTCCTCCAGTCATGTTCTTCATGCCACCAGCCCTTGCCGTATCTGGTCAAACAAAAATTATCCTCTGGTCATGTTCTTCTTTATGCCACTAGCCCCTGCATTCCTCAATTCCATTTGGAGGACGGTGATTCGTGGGTCTTTCCACCCACTCATGTAGACTTTTTTTTTTTTTTTTTTTTTTAATTTTATTTTATGCAAACCCGTGACTCACCCATGTTGATTTAGAAGAAAACTTGGGTGGAAGACGCCAAATTATTGTCAACTAACTCATCGTTGATTATTTGAAATTTGAACAAGTTTATTTTTGCATAATCGGTGGCGGCGGTGGCGGTGGCTTTAATTCGTCGCTGGGGAATTCACACGAAAGGGAACGAGGAATTCTCAACGAAAAAAGTGCTCTCTGAACTGAACGTGAAAGTAGTTTTCCATCAGACGGCTGTTCCCGTAACTCCACTCTCGACTTGGATTATATATCCAAAAAGGTCCGCTCTCGGCCATTCCACACGCTGCCTAGCGGAGGCGGCGACTGTAGAAGTAGAAATTCTGGAAACTAATCCCCATCCTCACCTTATCGCGTCTAATCTTGATTCTTGAGAGAGAGAATATAGTAAGGGATATTTAGTTGGAGAATTTAAATTATAATTTATAATTTGTTATAGTATTTTTTTTATAAAAAATATATATAAATTAAAAATAATTTTAATCACATAATTTTAATTTATGAACTAAACGTTTTCTTAAAATCATTATTTTTCTTAAAATCATTACTTCTCTCTTTTTCGAAAAGAAAAAAAAGGCTTGCGTTTGTACGACGCGCAACGCCAATGTTTTTTTTAGATGGAGCAAGGAAAATTAAAAAAAAAAAGCTCCAATTACATGTTTGCACCTACAGAGGAGTACAAATAACTAATGATCCTCACCGCCTGATAAAAATTCGAAAGGTTCTTAAAATAGTGCCTACATAAAGTTCCAAAAAAAACAATCCTAAAACAATCTGCTCACTAGAATTTAAGTTAGTTTATAAATTTAAAATTATTTTTAATTTATGTGTATTTTTTATAAAAAAAATTTATAATGAATCACACATTATAATTTAAATTATGACATGAATTTTTATATTAAATATCTTCTAAATTAAAAGAATTTGTTTCCAAATTTCAATGCATTTATTTAATTAAGCTTTGTTTAATTTCACCGATTCAAGCTTTTAATTCTAAATTTTTACAGTTAAAAGTTCTAAAAAAATATCATATCTAATTTTTTTTGTTACAATTAAAATTTTTTAAAAAATGTCACGTATCAGTTCGAATTGAAAACTTAAATCCGCGAAGTGAATGAGAAGTTAATTTTTTAAAGTAACAGTGGGTCCCGTAAGAAAACAAATCAGCCTCCACATCAATTGTCCACGTGAGATGGTAAGGGCACCGTTGCCGGTGGTGCACCGTTGGCTTTATTCAAAATACCCCCATTTACACGACCAAAACCCTACTTTTAGATTTATCTGTCTCTCCTTTCCCGGCGGCGTCGCGCGTCCCTCTGTCTCTCTCTCTTTCTCTTCCCGCGCTTTCTCTCTCTTCGTTGGCTCTCTCTCGCTCGGCCTGTCTCTCTCGCCGTCGCCGACGAACGCCCGCCGCCAGAAGAACGCGTCGCGACTGCTTCATCGCGAGTCCGAGTAGATCGACGCCGTCGACGGTGAAAAAGAGAGAGCGGAGCACGAGAATCGAGAGCGAGCTCTCTTCTCCTATTCTCCGGCGGCATCGACTTTGTGAGAGTGGGCGGCGGCGGTAGGTTAGGTCTGGGAAGTCGGAACTGAGCAGGGGAGATAGACGAAGGACATCTTCGGTTTTTTCATTTTTTTTAATTTTTGTTGAAGATCTCTGTTGGTGAAATTGGTGTAAAACTTTCGAAAAAAAGACAAGGCACTAGCGACTCGGACAATATTATATTCCTTTATTGTCAGTGGCGGCTTTGCGGTTTGTAGGGTTTGCTAGGCTTGACGATACCCGCAATTTCTATATCTCTGTTGGTGCATTTAGTTCCTCAGAAACTGCGCAGACAAGTTAATGGGTGTGATTGATATATACAGTGCTTCTTCTCCTTGTCTAATCAAACCCATGACCAGTCTTAGACCATTACAGAGCTGCACATTTGAAGGAACCAAGAAAAGGGTCGTCGCCATGGCTTCCACAGTCCCCGTCGAACAGAAAGTCAACGAGGGCCAAGAACGTTTGACTGGAGACTCCTTCATTCGGACCCACTTGAGAAAGTTGTCTCCTTATCAGCCCATTTTGCCTTTTGAGGTACTCTAATGCAACCCCATTATTGTTTTTGTTGTTTGGGTGTGAAATTGATGTAAGTTAGTTTGCTTATAACTTGCAAAGTGTCATTTCAATAGCTCTGTTTACTGTGTACCGTCGTCTCGGGATTTATGGATATTGTTGAAATGTTGATGTGATTCCATTTTGTGTGATGTGGGTTTCTATCAATTACTGGTATTTGCCATTTGAAGCTATATTATTGTGGAAGCATTTGGTCTATGGGCGAAGAGATGACTTGTCTGTACCTTGATTCATAATTTCATAGCATTTTCCATGCAAGTTTTGTCATTGTACTCTGACCCTCAAATGTGAGTTAGAATTGAACTGGGACTGTAAGGGTAAAGGGACGAGATTAAAAAATTTTCTAGATGTTTTGGGGTAGTTGATTCATGCCGTCCTTGCTCCCTAGGTTTTGGGCTAGTTGATTCTTGCCATCCTTGCTCCCTAGGCAATTGAGAGTTCCAGAGTTACAGTTATTCCAACACTTGAAATGGCTTGTATGTCTCTGAATCATATTGGAGTGTGGTTTGGTGAGATTGGTAAAGCAGTATTTCTGTTGCTAATAACTTCTGGTTAGTTAATTTCCTTTTTGAGATAATGTTAGCATGTAATGTATTAAGTGGTAAGTGAGGAGGCTGTCTTTCATATATTTTCATGTGTAGCAAGATACTACCGTGTTTTTTTTTTTTTAATGTTGAAATTAGATATCTGTCACTTGTTTATTTAGTGTGTGCCATTACTTTCCTTGAGGGGTAAATCCTGTTTTGGTAATTGGTAGTCTGATATCCAAGTGATTTTGTACAGGTTTTATCATCGCGACTTGGAAGGAAGCCAGAAGATATAATCAAACTAGACGCAAATGAAAATCCCTATGGTCCTCCCCCAGAGGTGAGTCACGTTTTCTATCTTATTCTCTTTATAATATGATGAACCAAAGTACATTTTGGTTGTATGATTTTTTTTTTTGGGAGTTTTATTGCTTCGTTTTCTTTTTTTATGATTTGGTCATAGAACAATCTGCACCTCCGTTATTCCCCTGATTGCAATTTTAGATGGTTATGTAGGTTTTTGAAGCTTTAGGTTCATTGAAATTTCCTTATATCTATCCTGATCCTGAAAGCCGTCGACTGCGTGCTGCACTTGCTGAGGATTCAGGCCTTGAAGCTGAATATATACTTGCAGGATGCGGTGCAGATGAACTAATTGATTTGATCATGCGGTTAGAGTGAAAAAAAAAAAAGATACATTTTCTGAGTTTTTCAAATATGATGCCCTTCAGTTTGTGTTTGCTGCATTATAAAGCTGTTTATAGTTCTTAACTTTTGTTGTCTTTGTTCAATTTTCTAATTAAATATAGTGCTGTAGATGTGTGCTTGATCCTGGCGACAAGATTGTGGACTGCCCTCCGACTTTCACTATGTATGAATTTGACGCTGCAGTTAATGGTGCAGCTGTTATCAAAGGTACAGACAGGGTTTCCAATTTTTAATGATTATGATGCACCATAGCCTGTAAATTTCCAATTTTAGATTCTCCATGTATTTACGTCAGTATTGATGTTTGTTTTATATTCTGCTACAGTTCCAAGGAAATCTGATTTTAGCCTGGATTTAGAACTCATTAAAGATGCGGTTGAACGGGAAAAACCCAAATGCATATTTCTAACGTCTCCTAACAATCCAGATGGGAGGTAATGTGTATTTTTTTGTACATTATTTTACATTAAATTCTTATTTCAGGTTTCTAATATATGCCAGAAACTGTTTGATACGGTTGATTGAATGGTTCTGTATAGAGCTGAGCTCTAATTCTACAAAAGAGTGGAAAATTCACTTATCAAACAAGATATTGACATGGTGTTTATATTGGATGTGAATTTAAGACTTTGGCAAGAATAGCTTGTGAGCATGGGTAACTAAATATCAGCATGATTATAAGCATCGATTTACAGTAGTCTGTGTAGGAAGGATAAAGGGAGAGATCCAGCCTTGTTGGTAAGGGTGGGGTGGGTTTAAGGGAGAGATCCAGGCTCGAATCCTGGGAGGAGCAAGCTTGTATAAAAAAAATAAATAAATAAAAAGAGGACTCTTTCCATGAACATATTCAACAATATCTACCATCTCCTGTTCACGCACTAGTTTGACTTAGTAAGTCCATGTATGAATGTATTTTTCTTTTATGCGGGATATTATGACTTTATGCTTTTGCTTTCTGGCCTAAAAATTTAGTTAGCATAATTATAGTGCTATTCTTTCTATGACAGTATAATTAATGATGAAGTTCTCTTGAAGATACTTGAGCTTCCCATACTGGTGGTCCTTGATGAAGCGTATATTGAATTCTCCACGATTGAATCTAGAATGAAATGGGTGAAGAAGCATGAGAACTTAATTGTTCTTCGAACATTCAGCAAAAGAGCTGGTATCTTCAATGCTACTCTTTGTTAAATGTGTTGTTTTTTTTAGTTCCTTTAAATATTAATAAATAAAAAAGTTCAATATTGTTTGTAGAATTAGTGTTTACTTGGCTATGCGTTTGTTGGGCATGTCTCCTTTGTGCGCATTTTTCCTCAACGTGGTAACTAACAGGATCGCAGGGCCTATATGTAGTTTTCTCTGTTTTTTATATTACTTATTCCATTTCATTGGTTATTATTGCTTGGATAAGGCCCACATTTTACTTAGAGTTTTGGTTGGGCTTACAAAGGAGTAAGGGTGTTGGTTTAGTACTCCATAAAATTATTGAGCCCATTTCTTATTAGCGTAAGCATTTAGGACAATTAAGATCTTAGCATCAAAATGCCACAAAAATCGACATCCCTTCTAGCCCATGCTTGAAAAATATTGAGTGAATCTCAAAAGTATTTTGCATCAATCTTGCATAAGTTTCTTTTGTGGCAACTAGTGATAACCTAATGCAATGCTTAGGAGAAGCTAAAAACTTTCACGTTGAAAGAAATGTGATAAAGAATAAGTGAGTTCGATCATGATGCAGATTTTGAAATTAAAGTATTCACAAAGTATGGTATTCTGTCTGTGGGTTTCCTCATCATTTTTTAGACATTAATTAGGGACGTGTTGCTGTTTTCTAGTTTTTATTTTTTATTTTTTTCGTTACTCATTACTCAACTTCCTATATTTAATCCCCAGATCAAAAATGGTCCATGGTTGACTTCGCACTTCTCAGATCAAAGTTTTATCTTTTGGTCTTAAGATGTTTGGTTTTGTTACATCTCTTAATGGACGTTTTCATTTCATTTTTCCCTCTTTTTGCAATGGTTAAAGGTAAACAAATGGTGCAGGCTTAGCTGGGCTTCGTGTGGGTTATGGAGCGTTTCCGTTGAGCATCATCGAGTATCTTTGGAGAGCAAAGCAGCCATATAATGTGTCTGTTGCTGCTGAAGTTTCTGCTTGTGCAGCATTGCAGAATCCTACATATTTAGAGGTCATTTCTTTTGTGAAAAGATATAAAAGAATTGGTGTGTTTGGTAAGGGGATTCGTACCCTGATTCGAATAATAGTTCATGGTTCGCTACGGTGTTTTTTCTCGCAAAAAATACACGTAAATCGAAAATGGTTCTAATCTCATGATTCTAATACATGAACCAAACGTCTCTTTAATCTCATTTTTTTTATGCCTATGGATTATGATTGTCTAGGTTTTCTGGAATAAGTTCATATCTGCTGAATATTATAGCTAACGCGAGCTGCTTATCTCCTTTATCAGAATGTGAAAGAAGCTTTGCTACAAGAACGGGAAAGGCTTTACAACCTTCTTAAAGGAGTGCCGTTTCTCGAACCGTACCCGAGCCATTCTAATTTCATTCTGTGTGCTGTTAAATCCGGAATGGATGCCAAAAAGCTAAAGGTGCATATTAACGTACATACAAATTACTTGTTGAACTAGTAAAGTACTACTACGTGCACATGACAGATATACTCACAGCAATAGAGAAAGTGATATGTGCGTGTATGAATACTTTTTTGTTTTGTTACCTTCCCCTGCTTCGTTTATCTAGTTGTAGTCAAATTAGTTGTCACCCACTGATGCAAAGAAATATGGGAAAGCAAAGTTTGTAAAAAAGCATAGGTTTTTTCGTCGTTTCAGGAAACCGTTTAGACCTAGAAGTGATCATAGTCATATTGACATTCAATGTTGAGGTCTGCAGTTCTAACCCATCCATAATATTAGTTGGATAAAATTGAAAAAGCTGTACTGAAATTAGTTTCATTTGTATATGCTCATTATGTTTTCAACAATAGTTGTACACATTGCAATTGGAATCGAAATATTTTACGTTTCTCTTAAACACATACAGTGCTGATTGTCAAAATTGTCTAAATATCCCTCATATTTTATGGTTTACAATTACGTGTCCTGGTCGCAAATAGTCATGCTTTATGTGAAACAAATGGAAGTATCTTTGGTTCCGATATTGATTGTTTTGACATGGGCACTAGAACAATTTCTGTCTCTATGGAGTGCTTCATAGACTTATTCATTTGTGTACGAGTATATCTGACAAGTCTAAGCACACCACATACAATTTGACGATGATTTTCATTGGAATATTCTTCTGTTTCATATGTTATATTCTTATTAGAAGGGCTAACTGATGGAAAATTGGCCTTCTTGGCTGGAACCCTTGTGTATTTCTACTTCAATTAAGTTGTTTTTACATCATTTAATTTTCCCGACTTATTATTTCGTGCATTTTGTTAAATGAGATTTTGACGATAGGATATGAAAAAGTACCTAACGGTAGGGTTTTATTTTAAACCGTCAGATTTGTACCAGGTTCTGTCATTTTTAAATGTTGTTTTCATTTAAATGCAGGAGGACCTTGCAAAAATGGGAGTGATGATCCGTCACTACGACAAGAAAGAGCTGAAGGGTTACGTTCGGATATCTGTTGGGAAGCCTGAACAGACTGATGTCTTGATGGAAGGCCTTAGACGATTCTATTAATGTACTTCCTATGTTAATCTTTATTGTTATAAGAGGCTGCTTTTTATTGGTGTAATGTTCAAGTACTATTTGTATTTGTACTAACCAATTTTACTTCTTTCATTGTGTCCCCATAAAATTTGACCATGGGGTTCACTTCGTACTTTTTTGTCATGGTGACGGTAGTATTTTCTTTGAATAAAATAGCGTTGTTCACGTGTCCCAAATGTGCAATGTTATATACATCACCACTAGTGATGATCTTCTTTATCTTTTCTATTAATCACACGTTTTGTTTTAGTTAGTCATTTTCCTCGGTTAGGTATTAAAAATAGCATAGAATTTCTTACAGAAAATAGCATTTGCTGATAAAGCACGGATATGTACATGATATTGACGCAGCATCACACGTTTTGTTTTAGTTAGTCATTTTCCTCGGTTAGGTATTAAAAATAGCATAGAATTTCTTACAAAAAATAGCATTTGCTGATAAAGCACGGATATGTACATGATATTGACGCAGAAATATAAAATAACAGTGTCAACTGTATACCATCCATATTTTATTTTGTTTCTAAATATAACTGAAACAAACTGATAAATCAGGGGTTAAGTTTGAGACTCATCACTCAGAGGTCGAAGTGATTGACAGCAATATTCAGGGCCATTTAGTTGCTGAGTCGAGTTTTTAATTTAGTTTGCTGAATTGAATTTTTAATTCGAGTTGAGTTATAATTTTATGTGAGAATTTTTTACTGTAATAAAAAAGTTAGATGTGACTGTTTTTTATTATAGTAAAACTCGAATCAGTAAAATGAACGGGGTTTCAAGAATGCAATACGTTTTGTTTTGTTGGAGTATCTCCTTTCCTAGTTTCTTAAGTTTTGTTTTGGGTTAATTATTTGGTCTCTTGAATAAGCTGAGTATTTTTTTTGTTTTGAAGGTGAGAGTTCTATTTCTTTATTCCACAAAAATCGTTTTTTATTGTAGTAAAACTCGAATCAGCCTCAAGAATGCAATACGTTTTGTTGGAGTATCTCCTTTCCTAGTTTCTTAAGTTTTGTTTTGGGTTAATTATTTGGTCTCTTGAATAAGCTGTGAGTACTTTTTTTTTGTTTTGAAGGTGAGAGTTCTATTTCTTTATTCCACAAAAATCAAACATGTAATCTGTAAAGACGAATATTACACGTTCAAAGGTTATAATAAGCGTGTCCTGCAATATTATATAAAACTACAACAGACAAAAAAAAAATACTCTAAATAAACTAAAGCTAGACATAGTAGAGGCCGGCCGATTAAGGGACTTAATTAACTTTCAAATTACTAAAAGTCACTTGTAGAACTCGACAACAGCCCATACAGACAAGGCAAAACACGCAATTCGGAATCTTGAAAATCCAGATTCCTCGCACAAGGCCTGCAATTCTCTTCTGCTCCTTTCCCTCCCTCCAGGTTGTGTCAACATGATGTTGTCTAATTCGGAGGCATACTTGGACGCCATACTTGAATCAGGTGTTTCCGGCATTATTATGTCGATGATTATGACTTTTCCATTCTCTTGTGGTAGGGCTTCATGGCAATTCCTAAGAAGTTTGATGCAATCTACATCCTCCCAGTTGTGAAGTACATCCTGCAATATGTTAAAAAGTCATTTTTCATGAAGAACAACCCTTTTTAATCCTATTCATTTCTTTATGATATCAACTTCTACTACTGGTGGTGGCGGCAAAATTAAGTGTAAAAATCAATCGTTTTATCTCTATCTCTTCAATGTGTTGAGAGCGTGATTCGGTTTCTTATCATTTCATCTATAGTTCTAATAAATTCTCGATGTGGCGCTGGGTGGGGATGTGACCACACCACTAAATCTTCCTTTTTATTATTATTATTATTATTTATTTATTTTTTTTATGGTTGCCAACATAGATGGATGTGTCACTTAATCATACCTTTTTGTGTTCTTTTGTGTGATGGCCAACAAGTAAAACAAAATATGATATTTGTAAGAATTCGAGGACCAAATTACACATACGTACACAAAATACTACACTTTTTCAGTTTTGAGTGTTAGGCTAAAGACTCGTATAAAAATAATAAAATTTAAGTTATAAACTAACCTTTATCATAATCGCATCAGAATTTGGAATGCTTTCAAACATATCTCCTGCAACATGCTTTATGCCTGCAAACACTCTTCTCTGTTAAAATTAAGGGGACTAAAAAAATACATAAAAATGTAATTATATATATATATATATATCTATATATATTAATTATATACCAGGATAAGGTGGGGCGTTTTGTATGGCATGAGGGAGTTCCAAGTTAGTAGCCAAAATGGAAGGGTACTTGGAGATGATCATATGGAGACAATGGCCAGTTCCTCCACCAACGTCAACAAGTGATGTTAGTCCCTGAAAACCATTATAGATCTCCAATACCTTTTCCATGATTATGGTCGAACGAGCAACCATTGCGCTGTGAAAAATGTTTCTGAATGATTCATTAGAATCCATATACTTGAATATAGACATTCCGTGGGCTTTCTCAAAAGTACTACCACCTTCAAGAATCACGTCCTTCATATGAAACCTGTATTAAAAACGTTGTCTAAATAACATTAATTACAGAAGGGCTTAATCCATTGCCTAAAATTGCTATCGATTTTACTGTTGTTATTATTTGATACCAAAGTTCCATATCTAAGATACTACTACATGTTGTACAAAACAAAACTAGAAAAAGCTAAATTTCATGCATGCGTACCATACTTCCAGGGTAGTTGGGTGGCAATGCAGCCGATAAAGGGAAGCTAACTCGTTTTTGTCCCGACCGCGAATGAAGAACTTCGCGGTAGGTGTGAGGCCGTAGAGCCTCTCAACCTTACCATCTTGGGAAGTGGATGTGGAGCAAGTGAGGAGGGAGTATGAAGCGAAGAGACGCAACATCCGGTCGAGCATAGAAGGACCATTCGGGGTTTCGATGGGAAGCAGGGAAGCAATATCGGATGGAGACATTTTTGCCTCAGGGCCAGGGCCAGCTCCAGCCATGATGCCGAACAGATCGAGCTCTATGGCTGCATTTAGGACAAGATGAAGGACATGAGAGCTGCATAAGAGCATGGCCTTGAGACATGCTTCATCTTCTTGGCTAAGGGAGGATTGGATTTGGGTTTCTTTGGAATCCATGTAAATATTGTTTGTTTGTTTTTTCTGTTTGTGTGTGTGGTTGGTTGAGTAACTGTGCTAGTCTGTTTATAGATTAAGAAACAATATCTTTAATTAGTGCTTATAGTCTCTAAATATACTTCTGCTTATGTACCAATGTAATGCTATTAGCAATACGACAAAGTATCATGTCGGGATACCTAATTGACGAGTCATGAATGCGGTGGTTACATTGCTGCTTTGCACTAAGCAACAATATTCCATCAGGACTACGAGTATATCGACCATAAGAATTGACGCAAATTTAAAAATTGTGACCATCCATTAATGGCACTATATGACGTACATTTTTAGGGTGCCATTATCATACGACTATTTTAATTTATTTATTTAATAAACACACGTAGAAGCAAAAAAAAAAATAGTATAAAACCTACGAGCTTTTAAAAAGAGGTAATAAAGTGACTTATAAGTGGATTCTATTAAGTGATTATCAAGTAATTACTAATTAGAAAGAAATTGGTGCGCACTTAAAGACAATAAGTGCACCTCACTCCTGTCAATGTGGGACTCACCATTGTCACACCGCATATTATATTAGAAGAGTACTTCTATTCATCTCGATGAGGTTAAAACTCCGCTACTTATAAAAGGTGGATCCCGCTAGGGTAGTAGGTGTGACTCAACCTAGTAAGACCCACTATTTTATGAGTAATGAGGTTTTATATAAATACCATTTTTGATATTAGAACATATGAGCATGACCTTTTATTATAATACGTCACCTAGCTAGTAAAATAAGTTCATGCCACCAAGTCCAGTATTATTGTTCACGGATGGTTTTGCATTTGGACCTTTCAACGTTTTTCGGACATCTTCATGTCTCTTCCATGAGTTTGGTCGGCCAATTTCATCTGTTTTACGGAAGCTCCAAAAACAACCCATTTAATAATTGCAAAGAGGATCCTCGAGTACATCAAACTTGAGGATCCTTGAGTATACCAAGCATTTAACTGATTTGGCTTGTTTTATTTCCTTGTCTAACGATGAGTTTGTAGGATACAATATTAATGATTTAGAGTGGAAATTTGCATGATATAATGAGTAGTGCAGCCAGATTTGTAAACAACAGTCATTAGTGTGTCAATATTTTCACAAAGATTAGCGGTTGAAGAGTGTATGTATTGAGCCTCGGAAAGAAAAAGTCACCATTTGTAAAAGGTGTGGCTACGTCGAAAGTCGATCGTTCGTGATAGTGGAAGAGCTGGTAATCAAGTGATAATTCTTTGATGACAATAGACGCATGGATTCAAATTGTGTTTTTCACTCTCTCCATAAACTCCTTTATTATTGTTGTTATTACTTGATTTTTTTTTTTATTGATAACTAGGACGTTTTTTTTAATGCAAACAAACCTCATAGGAAGGGCACAAAGCCAAAAACAAAAACAACAAGACAGTCCGTAGACGCCGCAAACAATCAAGTCCAACAAAAACCAAAGACCCAATGGCTAACAAAGCCAGAGAGACTATCTCCCAAGGCTCCTCACACCCACCTAGAAAAGGAGTCTCCTGAGTGGTGGATACAATAAAACTCAAACGACCAAAGACATCAAAAGAATTTACCAGCTGTTGTAAGTAGATTCAGCACATATAGAGGAGAATCATGATCCTTATACCAGAAAACAAGAACAATTCCGAAACTTAGCAGAACAAGCACATACAGAAACCATCCTTGCACGACATCAGAAAAATTCGCCAGCTGAGGTAAGTAGATTCAGCACATGCAGAAGAATCATGATCTTTATACCAATTCTGCAACTTTTATTTAAAAGAAACACACACAATAGCTTATTGAGGAGAACAAGTACGCACATCAGACAACGAAGACGAATCAAATAATTAGCATACAACGTCCACTGGCTTGAAGCCCTTGTCAATCGAAGCCTTGACCGCGTCCAGTACCAGCTGCGTCTTCCTACTGATTATTGGCCATTTCTTCTCAGGTTTGGAGCCATTTTTAATAGCTCCTACCAAATTAGCAAACTCTCTTACCATGCGAGCCTCCTGAGGAAGATCCGCGGTGACAACATGCTTGCTTGGCTGTGGTAACCAACCCGTCACGGGCTCGTTGAACCTAGTTTCAGCGCCTGCTGTAAAAGATGCCTCGTTTTCTTGGTAAGGGATTGCAAAATCGTTGACGTGTAGAGTTCCTTTAGTCCCAATGGCAGTGATATCCATAGCCATATTCGATAAGAAAGAGCAATAGAATGTTGCCGATTTCCCATCTTCCCAATGTAATGAAGCCCCACAATCCAAAATCACCCCAGATTCATTAAGAACAGCTCCGGGCAATGCTATTACTGTTTTCGGTAGTTCAAAGTTGGCAGCCCACAAGATTGATCGAATACAATACCATCCTAGATCTCCCAGAGCACCAAGACCATCCAGATCAGGCTTGATACGAATGTCATTCTTCAAAAAAGCAGGATCAGCAGCAGAAGTAAAGCACGAATGTACCTGAGTGCAACATAAGAAATAATCTTAAAACAAAAGCTATTTAATTCAAAAGTGAGAATAATCTTCAAAAGCTCAAATACTATCGGACAACTTAATTCCATGGATGATAAAATTGGTACACGAGAGTTAAAGTTTTCTCTTCTCATGACATTTCAATTCCTTTGCAATGACATAATCTGAGTTATTAGCCAGGAAAAGGAAAGGAAAAAAAGAAATAACATGAGAATGAAACGACGATATTCAAACGTGTTCAAATCCCTTATTGGACATGACAATTCACAACTCGACTTGTTTTCATATTTGACTACAATTTCAAATATGCGAGAGTATACTTGTCGTGCAAGTGATGATTCAAAATAATAATATAAAAAAAAGAATATCTTTTTCTCTCCGTCTCTTCCGCATAAGCTAAAAAACTTCTTTAACGACTTGCACTTAACAGATGAAAGTATAGCACAAATACAATAACGTCAATCATTTGGAAAACATTTTCAAATATTTAAACGAAGCAACTTAGCAGAATCAAATTGAAAAGGAAAAGCCTGAGTTGATAAAAAAAAAAGAAAAAAAAAAGAAAAGAAAGATAAGGGGCAATAAGACCAAATGATTCTTTCAAGCCCCGAAGATCAAACAGCACTTAGAGAAAAATAATCAAATTATAATTCGACAAAAAGATCAAGTTTGACAAAGATTTTAAAACATTGGGAGAACATTTATGACTTTGGGATAATTGGACAATAAGGATAAAAAAAAAGGAAATACATAAAAGACATAAGCATTAATAATATCAAAACAAAAATAACATGTGGCATTGTTTATGCCATAGTAGACTAGAATGGTGAATTCTTCTTAGAAAATAAAATAAAATAAAATGGTGAATTTTAGGTGCTTTACTTTTTTCTTTCTTTTCTTTCTAAGTTTCAAATTTTAATATTTTAAATTTTGTTATTTTATAATTTCTAATGTTTCATGTAACTACATTTTTCCCTAAATGACTGTCAATGCGTATTCTTTTTAATTTCTAAGTAGTTTTCTTTCTTTTTACATATTATTGTTTGTATTTTACGTTATAAAAATTTTAATCACAACTCAAATAAGTGCATCACACGTTTCTAAACTAGTATTAAAAAGAAATGGTAAAAGAGGACTATTTACATATTTTTTCCATAAAGTAACACAAGGAAAAAAAAAAATGAAATTTCTTCAAAAAGGGAATATTTAAAGAAAAAGCCAAGGCGATTTTGCATTTTTATCACCGTCTTGAGCTGACCGAAACGATCGGCGTCGGAGAGGAAGTCCTTCATGGTGAGAGTCCTGGGGTGGTGCATCCACATGGTGCCGTCCATGAGCTGGACCCCACTGGAATCTACGGCCTCGAGAATTGTGTCGAATTCGGAGACATTGAGGGCGACAGGCTTCTCGAGGAGGAGGTGCTTCCTCTTCTTGGCGGCGAGGACGGCCCAGTGGAGGTGGAGGCTGGTTGGGAGAGGGACGTAGACGGCGTCGATGTCGGGATCGTCGAGGAGGGATTCGTAGGAGCCGTAGATTTTCGCGTGGGGAGGGAAGCCATTGGCCGTCGCGAAGGCCTTCGCCTTGTCGATGTTGCGGCTGGCCACAGCGGAGAGGGCGGCGTTGGGGACAAGATTGATGGCGCGAGACAGCTTGCGGGCGATCTCGGCGCAGCCAAGGATTCCGATCCGGATTGGGGCTTCGACCGCCATGGCTGGAAGTGGAAGTATACCTGCTTTGATAATAGGAAAGTGGAGTGGACGCTTTGAAACGTTTGACCGGGTGCTCACGTACGCAAGCAATGGATAAAATAGACGTTTTTTCATTGGGGTAAAAAGGGTAAATTTCCTTTAAGCCGACAAAATTCAAAACTTTTGACATTTGTGTCATTTACCTCACTTTTTGCTTAGAGACAAATAATTTAGCTTGGACTGCAAGCATGCATATATACAATGTGTTTTGCTTATCATTTTCTTTCCATTTGCACTTTTTCATAGAATCATTCATGCTTTATGGTGTGTGTGTGTGTGTGTATATATATATATGTATGTATACATAGAAAAGGCATGTTAATTATTAAAGTTATCTCACCTTTTCTTTCTACCCACGTTAATAATTTGGACCCTCTAAATATTGTGCAATAATGTTTGCTAGCTAATGATAAAGATTTGAGAAAATTGTTTAACTTATTCTTAATAGTGTATGAATTTAGATTTTTACCTCTTATTTTTAATTAGTACCCTTTTGTTAATATAATATTTCACTAAAAAAAGTACTAATTAAGAAAAAGAGGTAAAAACAAGACCAATGTAGTGTTTAAGGATATTTGTCAAGATTTCTAAAGATTAATTACCATTTAACATGCATGCACAAAATCAATAAGCAAAAATGAGCGTTAAATGGTTTCCCACGAGCGTCTAGATAAGATGGCACTATGGAAGACGGACTTTTCAAGCACTAAGGATCGATGAGATAAAACTAACACTTATATACAATCATATTAGGCTCCGACCAAAGACATCAAAAGAATTTACCAGCTGTTGTAAGTAGATTCAGCACATATACAGGAGTCATGATCCTTATACCAGAAAATAAGAATAATTCTGAAACTTCTATTTTAAAGAAACACACATAATAGCTTATTGAGGAGAACAAGTACGCACATCAGACAACGAAGACAAATCAAATAATTAGCATACAACATCCACTGGCTTGAAGCCCTTGTCAATCGAAGCCTTGACCGCGTCCAGTACCAGCTGCGTCTTCCTACTGATTATTGGCCATTTCTTCTCAGGTTTGGAGTCATTTTTAATAGCTCCTACCAAATTAGCAAACTCTCTTACCATGAGAGCCTCCTGAGGAATATCCGCGGTGACAACATGCTTGCTTGGCTGCGGTAACCAACCCGTCATGAGCTCGCAAGTTTTAGTGTCTGTTGTAAAAAATGCCTCGTTTTCTTGGTAAAGGGATTGCAAAATCGTTAACGTGTAGAGTTCCTTTAGTCCCAATGGCAGTGATATCCATAGCCATATTCGATAAGAAAGAGCAATAGAATGTTGCTGATTTCCCATCTTCCCAATGTAATGAAGCCCCGCAATCCAAAATCACCCCAGATTCATTAAGAACAGCTCCGGGCAAGGCTATTACTGTTTTCGGTAGTTCAAAGTTGGCAGCCCACAAGATTTATCGAATACAATACCATCCGAGATCTCCCAGAGCACCAAGACCATCCAGATCAGGCTTTACACGAATGTCGTTCTTCAAAAAAGCAGGATCAGCAGCAGAACTGAAGCACGAATGTACCTGAGAGCAAAGAAAATTGTGACGAAATTTTCTTCAACAAGGACATATTTAAAGAAGAGGCAAGGGGATTTTGAATTTTGGTTACCGTCTTGAGCTGACCAAAATGATCGGCGTCGGAGAGGAAGTCCTTCATGGTGAGAGTCCTGGGGTGGTGCATCCACATGGTGCCGTCCATGAGCTGGACTCCACTGGATTCTACGGCCTCGAGAATCACGTCGAACTCGGAGACATTGAGGGCAACTGGCTTCTCGAGGAGGAGGTGTTTGTTCTTCTTGGCGGCGAGGACGGCCCAGTGGAGGTGGAGGCTGGTTGGGAGAGGGACGTAGACGGCGTCGATGTCGGGGTCGTCGAGGAGGGATTCATAGGAGCCGTAGATCTTCGCGTGTGGTGGGAAGCCGTTGGCCTCCGCGAACGCCTTCGCCTTGTCGATGCTGCGGCTGGCCACGGCGGAGAGGGCGGCGTTGGGGGAAAGGCTGATTGCGCGTGACAGCTTGCGGGCGATCTCGGCGCAGCCGAGGATTCCGGTCCGGATTGGGGCTTCGATCGCCATGGCACTGTTGTGAGCTCTGCTTTGATAAGAGGACAGTGGACTACTGGACACTTGGCAACGCTTTAGCGGGTGATGCACATGTACGTGAAAAAAAGGACACTTTTATTTTGCTTGGACTGCACGCATGCATGATCATTTTCTTTCCATTTGCATTTGCGTTTTCATACAATCATTGATGTTTTATGGCAAATATATATATATATATATATATGTATATCTGTCTATATGTATGTATGTAGTATATACATATATAAAGGACGTTACTTATTAAAGTTATCTCACGTTTCCTTTCTACCCACTTGAATTTGGACCCTCTCAATATTGTGCAATAATGTTTTCTAGCTGATAATAAATAACAGTTTTTGTTGTCTAACGGTTAATTTAGATCTTTATGGCCAGTTTAATTTACGCATTTAAGTCAATAATATTTATTCTTAATTTAAATTTTGTGAAAGAATTCACTAATAAAAACTTTTTTTATTTAAAATTTTTATTAAAGAAAAATATTGAAACAAATAAACGTAACAGCAGAGAAAAGGAAGCAGCCAGGGCTCTGACGCGTTCTCCACATGGCGATGCGTGGTTGGGTGACGTGGTGCAGCAGGATTTGGTACAGCGCGCTTGTGCACAGGAGCTGTATAGGGTGCGATACAGTTGATCCAAAATTAGGCTAAAGGCTATGACATACGACGCATGGCGAAGCTGGATTGGGCAACACTGAGCCAAGGAATTGGAGACGCGCGGAGTTGGTGATTGTATTGCACTCACACACAGAGAAGAACAGTGGCTTATCCAAGGGCTGTTGACGAGCGTAATTTAGCACTCTGCTTGTCTGCGTGTAGGGGAAGCTTCATCCGCAGTCAATTTCGGTTTTTGAGCCTTTTTTAATTTCAATAAAGCCCTAATTCACCATAATTGCCTCATTTCACCGAACCAGTTAGTTAGAAGCAGTTAGTTAGAAGCGCGCGCCTTAAATATGCATTTCTTGTTTTTTTTTTTTCTTTTTTCTTACACGAAAATTTAAATTTTCTTCTAAATTTTAGTTGTACTTAAATATTATTCCCCTAATAGTTTAATTTAGTAGAGCACATTTAAAAGGAAAAAAAGTTCAGAAAAGTTGGATAGTTCATTATTAATGGGGTACATATAAAAAAAGGTATTTGAGTGCGTTGTACGACAAAAATGTTTCTAAGAAGATATTATTTGAGGGGTGCAATTAAGGAAAAGAAAAAAAAAAAAAAGCACAATTGTTAGGAGAAGCAAATAAAAAAGTAGGGAGAACAAAAGAAAAAGTAGAAAAATAAGGAGGAAAATATGGATCAAAAGTAAAAAGCAGAAAACAATGACAAAAAAAGGAGATCCCTTGAAAAACATATTATATATATATATATGTATATGTTAAAGATTATTTATTAGGTACACATAAAAAATGTATTTGAAATTATTTAAAAAAAAAATTAGGTAGTGACATATTCAAGAAAGCAATTAGGAAAAAAGCATGTATGAGAATCACAATTGAAGGAAGGAAAAAAATAACAAGAACGTATATAGGAGAAAAAATAAATGAATTAAAAAGGGAGAAGAAAAATATAGACAAACTTTAATTAAAAAAGAAAGAAAGAAAAAATAAGCACACAAACATTTCGTCCCTGGAGGACGGATTTCTTATATAGTAAAGATTAACCTACACAAATACAACAAATAATTAATCAGAGAAAAAACTAAATTAAGGATCCGTTTGTTTCATATATTCAAACTCAAATAATTAATTATGTCACAATATTTTTTTCTTACAAAAAAATTTAAATTTTAAACGTTAAAATTTAAAATCATAATTTGAGTATACATTTCTAACATACCCTAAAGTAGCAATAACATAAAATAAACATGAATTAAATAAAATAAGAATAAAAAAATAAACATAAAAATCTAAAAAAAAGGTAACTAATTTTTATGTTTAAAGTGATAAAAGTAACCCTATTAGATTTATCAGTTGAATTTTTATTTTTTCTCATTTAATTATTATCTACCCACCACCCTTCTGTTTCCTTGTATACATGTTCTTAGGAAAGATCACACCTGATTTGCCCACATTCAGAATCATAGACAAACCTAACCAACCTTTAACTAAAATTATCAATAATCCACCCCTCTAGCCACCTTCATTCCATGCACAGAATCAGAATATGGCATTTATATTTTAACAATATATACTTTCGCTAATTAACCAATGTGCACAAAAGCAACGAACGGGAAAAAAGAAACCAGAAATAGAAAGAATAGTAACCCTTGTAAACTAAAATCCCACTACTAAATGCATTACTTTTTTTTTTTTTTTTTTTTTCACTCAAAATCTCTATTTTTAATTGACGCCATCAGAAAAATTGGGTTCCAGCACCAGTTATATTCTTATCGAGAAGATATCAATTTAGCCCGTTGAATCATAAACAGAGCATCCCTTCACACTCAATTTGTTTTATTGCGTGTCTTTCTTGTCCACTCAAAAAACATTAGCAATACAAGCAATAGAAGTGACAAAGTTTTTGAAAGACATCAGAAGGATTTACCAGCTGAGCGCAAGTAGATTCAGCAAATACAAGAGAATCATGAACTTTATACCAGAAACGAAGAACAAGTCTAAAAAACACAACAGCTTATTGATCAGAAACAAGCACATCAGACAACGAAGATGAATCAAATGGTTAGTATACAACCTCCACTGGTGTGAAGCCCTTGTCAATCGAAGCCTTGACCGCGTCCAGTATGAGCTGTGTCTTCCTACTGATTATTGGCCATTTCTTCTCAGGTTTGGAGCCATTTTTAATAGCTCCTACCAAATTAGCAAACTCTCTTACCATGCGAGCCTCCTGAGGAAGATCTGTAATGACAACATGCTTGCTTGGCTGTGGTACCCAACCCGTCACGAGCTCGTTGAACCCAGTTTCAGTGCCGGTAGAAAAATACGCCTCCTTTTCTTGGTAAGGGATTACGAAATCATTAACGTGCAAAGTTCCTTTGGTCCCAATGGCAGTGATATCCATTGTCAAATTTGATAAGAAAGAGCAATGGAATGTTGCTGATTTCCCGTCTTCCCAATGTAATGAAGCCCCACAAGCCAAAATCACCCCAGATTCATTAAGAGCAGCTCCGGGCAATGCTATTACTGTTTTTGGTGGTTCAAAGTTAGCAGCCCACAAGATTGATCGAATACAATACCATCCCGCATCCCCCAGAGCACCAAGACCATCCAGATCAGGCTTTACACGAATGTCATTCTTAAGAAAATCAGGATCAGCAGCAAAACTAAAGCATGCATGTACCTGAAAGCAACATAAGAAATCGTCCTAAAACAACTACTTAATTCAAAAGTGAGAACAATCTTAAAGAGCTCAAATATTATTAGACGGCTTAATTCCATGGATAATAAAATAGGTGCAATAGAGTCAAAGTCCTTTCTTCTCTGGATGTTTCAGTTACTTATAGTGACATAAATATCTGAGTTATTTAGCCAGGAAAAGAAAAGGGCAAAAAAAATAACAGGAGAGAAGACACATCAACACCATTATACCACCCACTTTAGCGAGGACAAATAACAAGGATTAAGTTAAAATTCATTGCAGCTCAACTTTAGGTTTCTCTTCTAAAGTCTGGGAAATTGCATGTGTAGGTTGGAGGAACAATAGACCGATTACAATCTCCCATAAGCATATCAAGGTTGTTCTATTTTCTAATCTTTTATTCTTTCTTTGTTGAATGTTTTATTTTCTAATCTGGTATGCCCGGTGATAAATCAAGATCATAGAGATGTGTTTTCGAACTGTTTGATAAAATCAGACTATACCCTATACCTTACATGTCTCAGCTCGACCCTTCTAGAGATGCTGAAGCTGAGATCGGATTATTCAATCAAGACTCCCAACACACCTTAAGCCGGATTAAATGCGTGCCCACTGGGGTATTACATCACAAGTCATCTTACACTGTTTATTATATATAAGAAGGTTTATAGTTGTAGAAATCCTTTCTATACAATTTGACTCTGTCTACCTTAAAGGTGGGTAGGCAAAGCTATCATTTATGTTATATTGGATTTTAGGATGGAACTAAAATGTTGGAAACCAAATGAAGTACACAGATAATGAACAATGTCCAAGGCATCTCTAAAGAAAGACAAAAGAACAACAGACGAGGAAAAGTAAAGGTTTTTGAAACCACAGGAACTTCAAAAGTAAAAACAGTTTAACAGAGAGTGATGTTCAAGACTGTTTTTTCCCAAGGCATATAAAAGAGAAGATGTGTGGTGCTTTCTGTTTCAACCATGCTATCGGTTTACTTTCAAAAGGCAACCGTGTATTTATTTCATAAGCTTTTGAGCTAGTGCTTTAGAGCCCGTTTTGGTTGGAGGATTCGTTTTCTGATTCGAATCATAGTTCATGGTTCGCTACAGTATTTTCTCTCACAAAAAATACACGTAAATCTCATGGTTCTAATCCATGAACCAAACAGGCTCTTAGCTTTTGTGTTCAGTCAGGTCAAATGCAATGACCATATTTAAACGCTTTCAAATTTCTCATTGGACTTTGTTTCCATATTTGTATACAATTTGATATGCTGGATAATACCATCTTCAACTTTGTGAGAGTACACAAGTCGTGCAAGTGACGAATCAGAATCTAAAAAACCATCCTATTCTCTCCGTGTCTTCTGCAGAAGCTAAAATAACTATCTTTAGTCTCTTACTCTTAGACTTAAAAGATGAACGTATAACTCAATGGCACTAATGTCAAGATGAAAACAATTTAACTGAGCAAAATCAAATTGAAAATGGAACCTCAGAACAATACTCGACAATAAATAGAATATAAGGAGTAGCAACATTGCTAGACTTGAGACAAAAGAATTCTTTCAAGCGCTTAAGATCAAATAGCACATTGGAAGAGAGAGAGAGCAACAAAAAAAAAAAAATATATATATATATATATATCAAATTTGACAAAAAGTTCGGGGTTGACAAAGATTGTAACAATGCCGCCCTTTATACTGCTCTTAATCTTCACTAAATGGTACACTCTTT